TAAAGCAACAGCTTGAAGTACACTGCTGTACCCTCCAGGCAAGACAATATTCCCTCCTTGGAGTTCTATATAACTACCTAATTCTATTAAATTCACTTCGTTCATATCATTACAACCAGTAATACAAGTTTCTCTTTTCAAAAGAGAATCAAAAATTAGCTGTTTTATGTGCTTTTCTTTATTATCATTAATTCTGTCTAAATATAAAGCAACTTCTAATTTAATATGATCTCCAACATTAGATATTCCTTCTGGTGGCAAAAATTGAGATAAAAAATATTCTTCACACCTTCTTAAAAAGCAAGTGTAAGCCTCATACACTTCTTGCAACATAAGAAAAGGGATTTGACTTCCATCTTCCATTACAGCTAGTACTTGGTGATCTTTTGGTGTATGTGTTATGTCAATAAGTCCATGATTTAAGGCTAATTCATACATGGGATTCCCTAGTATACCATGAATATAATTTGCTCCCATTTCTAATTTTAAGTTCCCTAAGAAAAAATTAAATCGTCATAAACTTAAAAGAAATCAATTTTAAGTAAATTTATTTTAATGTAAAAGTTATTTGAAAAAGAAAAAATTTAAATGTCCAATCCTAGGTAAAATATTTGGAATTATATTTTAAACATTACATAACTTGAAAAATATTCAGAAAATCCAATAATAAATATTGTATTAAAAGTATTAATTAAAGTATTAAAAGTAAACAGTGTATTCACCCATTTCATATGCTTCCACTCTGCCTCCAATTTTATCCCTCGCTTCCAAAATTTTAAAATTCGTTATTCCCTTTTTAACCAATGCATCCCCAGCTGCCAGCCCACTTATCCCACCTCCAATAATAATAATTTGAAATAAATTATTATTGTTATTATTCTTAACTTCGGCCATGACGGCCGTCGTGGTATTAGAAATTTTTAATTACACGAATTTATGATAACGTTGATGAAAATCAGCTGTATTCTTCTACAGTCAACGTTAATCTAAAAACAAAAAATCATTTTTTCACGTTAATTTAGTAATTTATGGATTTTAATAATTAAAAATAATGTCTTTAGGTAATGAATATTTATCAAAGAAGAAAATTAGATTTAGAACCAATTCAAATAACTACGATCGTTTAGAAGATATAAATAACACTGAAACAAACGGTAAGTTACAAAAAAAAAAAGTTCATACGTTTATTTTTTATCCAAAAATTCTCTATTGATTGTTTATTTTAATTTATTTCAGATGTATCTAAACCTTCGTTACTTCAATTTTTAAAAGTCGAAGTAACGAGGGGTTTTTGTTGGAACATGACGAAGAGAGGTATACAAA